CTTAAATCAAATCTGGGGGGGCTCAGCCTCCCCTAGCCCCCCCCGTGGCGCCGCCACTACTACATTGCCTATTCTCTTCTGTCAAAGTATGGTCAAGATCCGACCATAACACATCTAGTTGATCAATTTGATTATTATATTTTGCCTGTGTTTAACGTTGATGGCTATGTATATACATGGACAAAAGGTGATAGTTAACATCAAAGAAGAATATTCCTATTCAATTTTCCTTTTTTTTCCAAGATCGATTATGGCGAAAGACTCGTAGCAAAACGACGGTTGCAAACTGTTCTGGTGCTGATCCGAACCGTAACTGGGATTATGATTTTTGTAAAAGTGAGTTTTTCGTTTGCTCATTGTGATGTCTTCGTTATTACATAATCAATTCTAGGCGGTTCTTCCCATGATCCTTGTGATGATACTTTCTGTGGTGAAAAAGGATTTTCTGAAATTGAAACAGCTCAAATAGCAAAATTCATCACTGATCAAAGGGGCACAATTGTGAACTATATTAATTTTCATTCGTATTCACAATTGTGGATGTCACCATGGTGTAAGCTTTGAATATTAAGTTCGATCTCATCTTCCAACATTTCTCTCTAGCTTATTCAACCACAAGACCACCACAATTCGAGTTACAAGATGGTGGATCTATCCAAGCTGTCGATGCACTCACTGCTGTGCATGGTTAGTATATTGTGAAATACTCATTGTTTCAAAATCATTTTTGTGTAATATTAAAGGTACTAAGTACCAGCATGGTAGTGTTGCTCAACTTATATCTCCCACATCGGGTAGTACAATTGACTGGACCTATGGCATAGCTAATGTGACATTTAGCTATGGTGTCGAACTTCGTGATACTGGTAAGTGTAATTATTTCCTTTTAACAAACTGCTGTGGAATCCTTGTTGAATAGGTGAATATGGATTTTTGCTTCCCGAAAACCAAATCATTCCATGTGGTGAAGAAACATTGGCTGGCCTCAAAGCCTTACTTCAGTACATCGAAAAATACGTCTACACTTCCTGTGCAGTCGAAAATGTGAAATTGACGAGTTTCAACATCTTGCTTTTTTTCTTTCTGTTAACGCTCTTTGCATAGTCTAGAATGTTCGAAACTGAGCATTTTAACGGTCGTCACTTTCTTACACTTCAAACCCGTTACAACGATTTTAAAATAAATATTGTTTCAAACATTTCCGCCTTTGTACATTCCGTTTATTGAAAAGGGATATCGGATCTTCGCCAATAAGACTTTCGGCAATTATTGGCGAAAGTCAAATGGGTATATTGGCGAAATTCCACTAAACTTTGGTCAATTGGCGAATGTCCAGAAATAAATTGATGAGAATCCTGTGAACTTTCACCAATATTGGCAAAAATCAAGTGAGATTATTAAAACACACTTTCATATGATATTTTCTATTATTCACTATATATTCCAGCATCTTATTTTTCAAAATTTGATGTACCCATATTTGAACATATTCTTACTGCACATNATTGGCGAAAGTACAGAAGGTATTTTGGCGAAAGATCAGTGGACGTTCGCCATTGACGAAAGTCCAATTTACGAAAGTCCTATTGGCGAACATCCGGCTACTCATTGAAAATGCATTTTAATGCGTTCTACATGCGATCAGTTTACCGTGTTGACTGATTCAACGTATCAAAACACGAGATTTCGGATATCTTTAAATGTATACACTGCATTCCAAAGGAATGTTGTAGAGTATTTTAATGCAAATAATATCATAGTTAACAATGCTGCTAACTTAATTCGATTGTAATAGGAACAAACTATCTTATATTTTGGTTTATTTACAGTGTTGCTACTGGAAACAATGAAATGCAATGTAACTAAATATGCATTATTATAATCGAAAGATTCAAAACTCGGAATCAAAGAAAAAAAATATCTTTGAAGTTTTTTTGTCTTAAAAGTGTGCTGAAATACTTCTTTTTTTTACCTATTTTGCTAGTTCGCAAATCTAAATATGTACTGATTAATTTCCTCATCTATAATGTCCACATAGATTGTACTAACATGCTTTTTCTTCTCACAAAATACTAGTGAAAATTCGTTCTTATATTCAGAAGAGAAAATCAGTCGAAACATTATAGACAAAAACTCATTTATTTATGAGTTTGTAAGGATACGTTGTACGAGACCAACTGATACGGATGATGGCGCACCAAAAGCATCAAATATTGTAATTAAATTATTTTTCGATTTAAGCCAATTAGATGGAATATGATAATAACGTTGAGTTGGTTTTAAAAAATTAGTTTCAGCATGTTGATGACAACAAGGTGAGTTATTTTGACAAATACTTTGAATTAACCAATAAAGTCTAAGATCATTTCCATTAATAAATGCATGACCACGCTTAAGACCTTGAGCATCAAGTAAAATCGGATTAGCATTGGTATCTTCTCGTACACAATGATCCAAATCAAATCATGATTGAAACCATGTTATTGGTTTATTAATACTTTTTATCCTTTGAGTATCCCAAGTAATTTTCGAGGAAACTTGTTCAGTATAAATTTGAAGATATTCACCAAACTTTTTTGATGGTTCAAAAAATTTGCTTCTGTTTGATCATCTAATAATTCTCCATCAAGTCATATGTTACCATCAATATCTTTCTGATCAAAAGAATTTTCATATATACCACTAAAAAGTCCAAATGAAATCGAAAGAATTTCAAATAAATATTATTGAGTTTTAGTGAAATGTGAAAGATCCACTGCTATAAAGCCTTCTGCACCAGAGCTGCAACCGGCAACGGTAACCTGCCAGTCCGGTCCGGTTCGGTAGAGAATTCGTGACCGACCGATAGAAACAACTTTTTTACCAGCCTGGTCTAGATTTTTTTTGACTTTTCCCTATTTTTTTCCGAAAAAAAGGATAAA